TTGTGCTCTGGGGGGGCAACTTTCTGTTACGACCCCAAACGTTTTTTACAACCCCGAACCCTGCGTCGCCTGGTCCAGGGTCTGCATGCTGTCGGTGGGCGTGGCAGCCTTCTGGGGCTGCAGCAATTTTCCTGCGAGTCATCCAGCTGGTCGAGAATCTTGATCACCTCGGGCGGCACGCCGTCTTCGGGCAGCAAGGCAGCCTTCTCCAGCACCTGCTGCTCGTCAATGGCCTGGAAGGAGGGATGGCCGTAGCGCCGCATGTCCAAGATCAGCTTCACGACGATGCGCCTGCGAACGGACGCTTGGTGTATGAGATTCTTGATCTCGGCCTGGGTGGTTTTGCCCTCCTTGTTGGTGGTGAGGATGATTCGGACGTGCGGACTGCGAGGCAGCGCTTCGGCGCCGGGGCCGGCTTGCTGCTTGAGCTTCAGTACCCAGGGCAGCGGGAAGGTCAGCGCATTGCCGCGGGCCCCTTGCCAGTGTCTGGCCATGTGCGCCGTGTCATCCATGGGGTGGCCCTCAGCACGGTGCCGGGCTTCCATGCTAAGGCAGATCAGCGTGGTGATGCAGGGGCTTGCGCACAGCATCTCCATGACGGGTCACCTTGTCGCTGTACAAGGTTTCTGGGCCGTAACCAGTCCACATGTCGTTCGCCAAGCTGAGAGGGGGCAACTTCTTGCTGCTCAGGTGTTCAAGGCAGGTGCTGCAGAGGGGAACCTCGCATTTCTCGCATAGCTTTCTCTCGTGCTCGTGGTCGGGATTGGCGGTGCATCTGTGGTCTTCCGGGCAGCCCAGAAGCTGGACACTGCTACCACTGTCGTCGGCCACCGACAACTGCCAGCTGGAGAGGTCCTCGAACTGAGACAGTGTTGCGCCGCCCTCAAGCTCGTTGTACTTGGCCATGAACTCTTCCACGCCAAGCAGCTTCCGAATGACGTGCAGCGGCTGTCCCAGAAAGGAGCGGTCGGCAAGCCGCACGGGCCGATGCCACCTGGAGTTGGTGAATAAGGCCGTGTATAGGAATCATGAGGAAGTGGGCCCGCAAGTTTTAGACACTGAAAACGATCCAACCCCGCCTGATCTCACCTTTGCCTTCGTTGTCG